GCTCCTTCGATCAGGTTATGCCAATTTGTGTGATCAGCAAACTTGAATCTCAGGAGTCCAGGATGAGGGTGGGGGTGCAGGTGGGGGTTCCTGGGCCTACACTGTTCATCTAGTGGTCATCAGTTCCTGGGCCTTGAGGAGCATTTGGGACATCCTCTTGAGATCACAAGGCTGGAGACAGGGCTGGGACGTGGCACACACTTCACCCATCAAAGACCTGCCGGAGATGAGTTGGAGCCCCGGCTTGGGGGCATACGAGGGGAGGTCATGGATACTGGTGAGCGCTACATGATGATGCTATACAAAGCATGAAAGCAGAGAAGAATCAACCCAAAGGGCAACATCTAAATATTTGTATTTAATTTTTAAAAGACAGAGTCTTGTTCTGGCACCCGGCTGGAATGCACTGGCGTGATCTTGGCTCAGCTCACTGCAACCTCCGCCTCTGGACCTACGGGGTTCAAGCGATTCTCCTTCCTGAGCCTCCTGAGTAGCTGGGGTTACAGAGGCCTGCCATTATGCCCAGTTACTTTTTTGTGTTTTTAGTAGACAGGGGGTTTCGCCACATTGGCCAAGCTGGTCTCGAACTCCTGACCTCAGGTGATCTGCCCGCATCATCCTCCCAAAGTGTTGGGATTGCAGGCGTGAGCCACCACGCCTGGCTAATTTTATTTTTGAGATGGAGTCTCGCTCTGCTGTCCAGGCTGGAGTGCAGTGGTGCAATCTCGGCTCACTGCAACCTCTGCCTCCCAGGCTCAAGCGATTCTCCTGCTTCAGGCTCCGAATAGCTGGGATTACAGGCATCTGCCACCACACTCGGCTATTTTTTTTGTATTTTTAGTAGAGACAAGGTTTTGCCACATTGGCCAGGCTAGTCTTGAACTCCTGACCTCAGGAAACCCACCCGCCCCAGCCTCCCAAAGTGCTGGGATTACAGGCAGCCACCGTGCCAGGCACTAAACATTTTAATTATGTTTCTAAATTTTTTTTTTGGAGCGAGTCTTGCTCTGTCGCCCAGACTGGGGTACAGATGCAGTCTTGGCTCACTGCAACCTCCGCCTCCCGGGCTCAGCCTCCAGAGTAGCTGGGACTACAGGCGTGCGACACCAAGCCTGGCTATTCTTTTTCTTGTTTTGTTTTTTTGTATTTTTGGTAGAGTGGAGTAGGGGTTTCCTCAAGTTGGCCAGGCTGCTCTGGAATTCCTGGCCTCAAGTGATCCGCCCACCTCGGCCTTCCAAAGTGCTGGGATTACAGGTTTGAGCCAACGCGCCGGCGTTCTCCAGCATTTCTGCACGTATCTTGGTGCACACCTTTGCACGCCATCTTATTAACTGTGTTTATCCTACTGCTGCACGTGCCTTTCGGCCACGGCATCCAGATGGTGCGGGTGCTGCCCGCCCCGACTGGCGGCAGATAAGGAGCCGATGCCCTCACTGGTGCTGGGCGGGGAGGCCGCTTTACTCTGAGGGAAGGGGCGGCGTTGGCAGGGGAGGGCGGAGGGCGCAGGCCCTCAGGGAGGGGGCGGCTCGCCCGGGCCACGTGGTGCCGGCCCTCGGCTGTAGCCCGGCTGAGGTCCCGGGGGCTCGGGGTTGGGAGGGAAGGCGCGGAGCCAACAGGTCCCAAGGAGCCTTCGGGCAGGGGGCCTCGCGGCGGCCGGGCCGGACTCCTGGCCGCAGCAGGGGTCGCATGGGCGCCGCCGTCAGAAACTGCGCGAGGTCCCCGGGGCCACGTGTTGGCGCCTGGCGGCCCGGGGGCCGCCGGCAGGTGCGGAGCGGAGACGCCCACCTGGGTGCCCTGGGCCGCGTGGCGGACGGCGGGGCCGGGCACCCCTGCTCCTCCTCGGGCTCCGATCCGCTGCGGCCCTGGGTGCCGCCCGCCGCCCGCCGGAAGGAGAGGGGCGTGTCCTTCCCCGCCCCCGGGCGCGGCCAATCAGCGCGCGCGGCTCATGAATAGTGAGCGCGCTGGCCCCGCCCCGCCCCGCCTTCCGCGGCACCGCCCGCCCGCGCAGACCCCGAGAGCGGCCGCGGACGAAGATGGCGACCGCCATGTACTTGGAGCACTATCTGGACAGTAAGCGCGCCCCGCGGGCCCCGCGCCCGCCGCCCGCGCGGAGCTCCCCGTGCTGCGACCCCTCTCGCGCCGGGCGCCGCATGCAGACCCCGTGGGCTCGGGAGGGCGGGGGTGCGGCCGGCTGTGGCGGGTAGCGCGCGACGGGGCGGGGCCGGGCCCGCTAGGGAGAGGAGGGCGCGGGGGGCGGGTTGCGGGGTCCGGCCGCCTCGGCCGCGCCAATTCCAGGTGCGTCACGGCGGGGCGGGATCGGACGGCGTGGGGCGGGGCTTGCGAGCTCGGCCCCGCCCACCTGGACCACGCCCCTCAGGCCCCGCCCCAGCTCCGGCCCCGTCCCGTCTAGTCTGGAGCCCGCTCCGCTTCGGGAGCTCCGGGGCCTCGGTCCTCCCTGGCTGCGCTCCCGTGTGACCGCGGCTGGGGAGGGCGGTCGGGCCGCGGGGAGTCTCTCCCCGGCTCTGGGGACTGCGCCGCGGAGGCGGGGAGGGCGGTGCTCTGTTTGCAGGTGGCAGCTGGTGGCTCCAGCGGCTGAGCCCAGGGTGCTTCCCCTCACCCCACTTCACAGACCGGGGAAGGTCCCGCGCGGCCCAGCAGCTTCTCAGGGTGCCCCGCGCTTGGAGGGGCAGAGCCCACGCAGGACCCTTCACGTCGCCCCGGGATGGGCACAGCTTTGGAGTCGCGGTGGTTGGGGTGGTGCCGAACGGCTCTGGAGGGCCCTCGTGGGGGCGCTGCACGGGGGATCCTCATGGGCCCCGGCCTGGCCACTCAGCTTCCCGCCCAGGGGCTGAGACAGTGGCGAGTGGGCCGTGGCATGGAGCTGGAGACCCCTGCCCTAGAGGGATGCCCGGTTCTGCCCACGTGCTCTGCATCTTGTGGGGGGGGTCCCCGGGTGCAAGGGTCAAAGTAGGGCACATGCTGGATGGACGGCCTTCTCCATCTTGGTGCCCACCCAGCGGGCTGGGCTCCCAAGGAGCGTTGACTGTGCGTGCTCCGGAGGCTGTGCCAGCCGGGAGGCGGTGCAGTTGTCCTCTAGGAGAGCTGGGAAAACGCTGGTGCTGGAGGCATCAGATGCCTAAGATAGAGTCAGGCAGATGGGAGGGTGGCCGAGACTGCAGAGGACAGCCCCCCTCAGCAGCCTGTGTCGGCTGTGCAGGGGGCGGAGGTTGACCTGGTCTACGGGACAACAATGGGGAGAAAGCAGCACTGGGGTCCTCTCGGCAGACTGTCGGGAATGGTCGCGCTAGCAGCAGGGACTATTTAACTTTAAGTCAAATTAAAAATTCAGTTGCATTAGTCCTATTTCCAGTGCCCACTGGTTCTGTATGGCCACCACTTTCTTGGGCAGCTCAGAGAGAGAACATTTTTTTCTTTTTTTTTTTTTGAAATGGAGTCTCACTCTGTTGCCCAGACTGAAGAGCCTGATCTCAGCACACTGCAACCTCCGCCTCCCAGGTTCAAGCAATTCTCATGCCTTAGCCTCCCAAGTAGCCAGGACTGTAGGTGTGTACCACCATGCCAAGCTAATTTTTGTATTCTTAGTAGAGACTGGGTTTCACCATGTTGGCCAGGCTGGTCTTGAACTGCTGACCTCAAGTGATTTGCCTGCCTCGGCTTCCCAAAGTGCTGGGATTACAGGCATGAGCCACTGCGCCCAGCCAAGAGAGAGAACATTTCTATCCTTGCATAAAGTCCCATGGGCAGCATGGCTACACTGCTCGATGCACTGGATTTCTGGGTAAAGTGGGGGAAGATCAAGGAGGACCCAGGGGATTTTAGCTTGAGCCTTGGAGGATGCTGCTCACTGAGGCGGGGTAGCCTAGAGGGTGGACCCTGGTGGAGGCTTCCCAGGTGACCTCCCCTACCTCTGCTGTTGGTTTCTAAGTTTCCTTCTGCCTTCTTTGACTTCTGACAGCTTCTGAAGAGTGTTAGCCTCTTGTCAGCACTATTTGGTACCTGAGTCTAAAAATGAATCACAATCCTTCTGCTCTCCAAACCCTAACAGAAACAGAAGACAGAGTGGGCTTGTCAGTTTAGACTTTAGATATAAAACTTGGATCAGGCGCGCTGGCTCATGCTTGTAATCCCAGCAGAGAGACTGAGGCGGGTGGATCACCTGAGGTCAGGAGTTCCAGACCAGCCTGACCAACATGGTGAAACCCCATCTCTACTAAAAATACAAAAATTGGCTGTGTGTGGTGGCTGTAATCCCAGCTGCTTAGGAGGCTGAGGCATGAGAATTGCTTGAACCCAGGAGGCAGAGGTTACAAGGAGCTACTGCACTCCAGCCCCAGGAACAAGAGTGAAACACTGTCTCAAAAAATAAAAAAAAAAAAGACAAAAAGCTTTGGAGATGGGTTTTGATCGTGCCGCTGAAAGGTACATGGCTTCCATGTTTTTGTGTTTCAGGCATCGAGAACCTTCCCTGCGAACTTCAGAGGAACTTCCAGCTGATGCGAGAGCTGGACCAGAGGACGGAAGGTGGGTTCAGTCCTCTTGGTACAACCAGAGCTGGGTTTTGACAGCTGGGAGTGAGGAGCACCTGAAGGCCGGGGGCAGAGGGTTTTGAGGGGACCCAGGTTAGTGGGGGCAGTGGCTGAGCCCTAGGCTCTGGGGATCGCACAGTGCCTTGCAGTAGGTGTTGATACTTCAAAGCCACGTTTAGTTTTTTGATTTCTTAGACATCTTCACATCATGTTTTTATAACCATCACCCTTTCCAGTCAAATATTTATTGCCTTTTTTTCTTTTAAAAGTTTTCCATTTTCAGAGTGTGTGCATCGTTTTAAAAGTTTGGTAGTACTTTCTGGCCTTTGGTATTTAACTCCCTGTTTCTAAACAACATGTTTTTGTTGCTGTTCCTTAGTTTATCTGTCGTCAGTTGTAGACTTTATTCAGCGTGTATGGCACATGCAGCCGTACTCTCCAGCCACCCCAGCTCACGGGCATACACTTTGCTCCCCCATCTTCTGGCGGTTAGAATTTGTGGTGGGACCAGTGACGGGCCCTCCATTGGGCAGCTGTGTAGGCACTTCAACACGGAGCCATACCGCCTGCTGTGCAAAAATGACCCCTTTTGAATCACTTTGCATATTTCTTGGAGTTACTCATTCCTTGTTTGTTGGCTTTGTTTTCTGTATTCCACCCTGGCCTCCCCGCCTGCTCCTCCGTGTGGTCTGTCAGGCTGTCTACCCTGACAGCTCCGTGCGTGCTTTCTTTCCTCGGAGCCCTCTGTCTTGGAGGCCATGCTCCTGATTGTTTCTACACCTACTGCACACATGTTAGCCTGGGGTTTTCTTGGGATCTCCTTTCACCCCTCTTCCTTGAATTTTAAATGTCTTCTTCTTTTTTTTTTTTTTTTTTTGAGACGGAGTTTCACTCACGTTACCCAGGCTGGAGTGCAATGGCGCGATCTCGGCTCACCGCAACCTCCGCCTCCTGGGTTCAGGCAATTCTCCTGCCTCAGCCTCCTGAGTAGCTGCGATTACAGGCATGTACCACCATGCCCAGCTAATTTTTTGCATTTTTAGTAGAGACGGGGTTTCACCATGTTGACCAGGATGGCCTCGATCTCTTGACCTCGTGATCCACCCGCCTCGGCCTCCCAAAGTGCTGGGATTACAGGCTTGAGCCACCGCGCCTGGCCCTTTTATTTTTTTTTTAATCACAGCAGGCATGGGAA